AAAAAAAAAAAAAAAAAAAAAGGAAGAGGGACTCACAGGGCCTCAGATGTCCCCTGCTCATCCCAACCAGTCCCCTCCAAACCCCATTTCTCCCTACAGGCCAAGCCTTTATTCAAATCCACAAAGAGCCTTCCCACTGTGGACACCTCGGCCCAGGCGGCCCCTCAGACCTACGCTGAATATGTCATGTCACGGCCTCCAGGAGGGCCTGGGACTACGTGTCCCACAGGGTCAGAGCCCCTGGCAGAAGAGACCCCCAACCAGGCCCCAAAACCAGGGGCCAAATCCAGCAGCATCATCGTGAGCCCTCGGCAGGTGAGGAGGGAGACGGAGATGGGGGGCCTTGAGGTTTCCAGTGGGAAATGCTGTTCTGGGGATGACTCCGGTGGAAGGAGGTCTAAGTTCCAGCCACTTTGTTCTCACCATTCATTCATTCATTCATTCATTCAACAGTGGTGTGTGGGTTGAGAGTGTCCCAGCTCTTCGTGCTGGGGCTTTGGCTGTGTTGATGCAGCTGTTTCCTGACCCCAGGTTCGTTAATTTATTCAAAATGTACTGAATGAGGCCGGGTGTGGTCGCTCATGCCTGTAATCCCAGCACTTCGGGAGGCCTAGGCCAGCAGATCACCTGAGGTCAGGAGTTCAAGACCAGCCTGGCCAACATGGTGAAACCCCGTCTTTACTAAAAATACAAAAATTAGCCGGGCGTGGGGGCAGGAAGTGTTCAGGACCATAGGACACGCAGATTGGGGCTGGGAGAGAGGGCTGAGCTGGACACAGACCCGGGGACCCTTTAGGAAAGGACTGGCACCAGTGGGAGGGGAGGAGAGGAGCCTGGATGAGAGGACCAGGGACTGTCCAGGGTTGGGAGGAGGAGACAGAAGCTGGAAAAGACCGGGGCACAGGTGGGAGGAGGTATGGGAAGAGGTGGGAGGAAGAAACAGGGAGGAGGGAGGAGGTATGGGAAGAGGTGGGAAGAGGGAGGAGGTTCCAGAAGAGGTGGAGGAGGGCCCTGTGGTTGCCAAGAGTCATTCCTATTGATGGCTTCTGCCCTTCCTCCCTCCCCAGCGGGGCAATCCTGTACTGAAGTTCGTGCGCAATGTGCCCTGGGAATTTGGCGATGTAATCCCCGACTATGTGCTGGGCCAGAGCACCTGTGCCCTGTTCCTCAGGTGAGCTCTGCGGCTCCACCCCACCTTCAGGAAGGGCGCCCCACTGGCCTCGGAGGGTCATGTCCCAGCTTTCTGGACTATTCTATGAGAAACCTCTGGGCATGGTGCTGCAGGCGCTGGGCCTTGGTGGGACCTTGTGTGGGAGAAAGGGGTCTTGGCCTGGAGGTGCCTGGTGCAACAAGTCCAGACCCTGGATTCCTGGGTCTGAGGGAGTAGGGGCTGGGGGTCTGGACTCCTGGGTCTGAGGGAGGAGGGGCTGGGCCACTGAAATCTTTTAGTAGAGATGGGGTTTCTCCATGTTGGCCAGACTGGTCTCAAACTCCTGATCTCAGGTGATCTGCCCGCCTTGACCTCCCAAAGTGCTGGGATTACAGGTGTGAGCCACCGCACCCAGCTGAGTTTCTTTGTTTTTTTAATTTTAATTTTTATTTTTAGAGACAGGGTCTTGCTGTGTTACCCACTCTGACCTTGAACTCCTGGCCTCAAGCGATCCTCTTCCATGGGGTCGGTGAAGTGGCTCACCCAGCCTGAGGCAGGAGGATCACTTGAGACCAAGAGGATCACAGGAGTCCTGTCCCAGACATCCTTGACTGATGTTGACGAGAGGCAGGATTTTTCCCATCTCTACCCTAAACAACTTCCCCCTCCAACCCAAGGGACCCTCTGCAAACAGGGCTAGACAGAGGAAGCGAACCCATGAGTCCCTGTGCTCCCCACAGGCTGGGAGAGCTGCAGAGTGCTGGGCAGAGCTGGCCCAGTTCCCTGGGTTGTGAAGCCCTCGGCGTAGCCCTCCAAGGCCAGAGCAGATGCGCTGGCGGTGGGTCCTGCTTCCTACCATGAGCCATGAGTGCCCCCGGACCATACTCTCCAGAGCCCCTTGCGCCTGTTCTCCCCTGGAGGCCCACGTCTCCCCCGCTTCATGAAGAAGCTAGGGGCCTGGGCTTCTGGTTCACTGTGGCCGTGTGGCCCTGGCTGCCAATCCCTGTGGAGCATCTTCCTGGAAGAGTGACCTGGAACAAGTCACTTACCTTCTGTAGGCCTCAGGTCCCCTCTGTCCCCTGTGCCATACTCCGAGCCCTTAGCATTCCAGTGAGAGGGCAGAAGGGCTTCAGGGGTCTGGAAGAGACTGAGACCTCCCAAATCCCGCTCCCTGCCCCCACCAGCCTCCGCTACCACAACCTGCACCCGGACTACATCCACGCGCGGCTGCAGAACCTGGGGAAGAACTTCGCCCTGCGGGTCCTGCTCATCCAGGTGGATGTGGTAAGCGGGGGTCACTCCCCAGCTGGCCTCACTGTCCCCGTGTGTGAAATGGGGAGTGCTGGGCCTCGAGGTTGTGCAGTGGACTGTTGAATCCCTTCCAGGAGGAGATGCAGCTGAAACCTCAGCGAGGAACGTTTTACACATCTGAGACTGACATGGGTCACCAAGAAACTGTGTATTGGCAAGGAGGCGGGAGGGCAAAATTATCCATTTCCTCTTTCCCCACATCCCCTTCTATTAGTCCCAGACCCTTGCCACCTAAATATCCCTTTTTTTTTTTTTTGAGATGCAGTCTCACTCTGTCGCCCAGGCTGGAGCACAGTGGGGTGATCTCAGCTCAACTGCAACCTCCGCCTCCTGAGTTCAAGCGATTCTCCTGCCCCAGCCTCCCAGGTAGCTGGGATTACAGGCACCCACCACCACACCCAGCTAATTTTTGAATTTTTAATAGAGACAGGGTTTCACCATGTTGGTCAGGCTGGTCTCGATCTCCTGACCTCAGGCGATCTGCCTGCCTCAGCCTCCCAAAGTGCAGGGATTATAGGTGTGAGCCACTGTGCCTGGCCTCTTTTTTTTTGAGGTGGAGTTTCACTCTTGTCACCCAGGCTGGAGTGCAATGGTGAGATTTTGGCTCACTGCAACCTCTGCCTCCCAGGTTCTAGCAATTCTCCTGCCCCAGCCTCTCAAATAGCTGAGATTATAGGTGTGTGTCACCACGCCTATCTAATTTTTGTATTTTTAGTAGAGATGGGGTTTCACCATGTTGGCCAGGCTGGTCTTGAACTCCCGACCTCAGGTGATCCACCTGCCTCGGCCTCTCAAAGTGCTGGGATTACAGGCGTGAGCCAGCACCCTGGCCATCTCTCTCTCTTTTTTTTTTTTTTTTTTTTTTTTTTAAGATGGAGTCTTACTCTGTCACCTAGGCTGGAGTGCCATGGCTCCATCTTGGCACACTGCAACCTCCACCTCCTTGGTTCAAACCATCCTCCTGTCTCAGCCTCCTGAGCAACTGGGATTACAGGTACACGACACCAATGCCTGACTATATTTTGTATTATTTATTTATTCAATGAAACAGAGTCTCGCTCTATCACCCAGGCCAGAGTGCAGTAGCACAGTCTCACTGCAACCTCTGCCTCCTGGGCTCAAGTGATTCTCCTGATTCAGCCTCCCGAGTATCTGGGATTACAGGCGTGCACCACCATGCCCAGATAAATTTTTGTATTTTTAGTAGACATAGGGTTTCATCATGCTGGCCAAGCTGGGCTCCAACTCCTGACCTCAGGTAATCCGCCCTCCTCGGCTCCCGAGGGCCTCCAAAAGTTCTGGGATTTACAGGTATGAGCCACAGCGCCTGGCCAATTTTTGAATTTTTAGTAGAGACAGGGTTTCACCATTTTGGCCAGGCTGGTCTCCAACTCCTGACCTTAAGTGATCCACCCACCTCTGCCTCCCAAAGTGCTGGGATTACGCGGTGAGACACCACACCTGGCCTCTTTTTTTTTTTTTTTTGACATAGGGTTTTGCTCTGTTGCCCAGGCTGGAGCACAGTGGTCCAGACATAGCTCAGTGCAGCCTTGAGCTTCTAGGCTCAAGTGATCCTCCTGCCTCAGTCTCCTAAGTAGCTAGGGCTATAGGAACACACCGCCATATCCAGCTATTTTTTTGTATTTTGTAGACATGGGGGTCTTCACTAAGTTGCTCAGGCTAGTCTTGAACTCTTGGCCTCAAGTGATCCTCCTGCCTCAGGCTGGGTGAGCCACTTCACCCGACCCCATGGAAGAGGATTGCTTGAGGCCAGGAGTTCAAGATCAGAATGGGTAACATAGCAAGACCCTGTCTCTAAAAATTAAAGAAACAAAAAAACTCAGCAGGGTGCGGTGGCTCACGCCTGTAATCCCAGCACTTTGGGAGGTCGAGGAGGGCAGATCACCTGAGATTAGGAGTTCGAGACCAGTCTGGCCAACATGGAGAAACCCTATCTCTACTAAAAATACAAAATTTAGCTGAGCGTGGTGGTGTGTGCCTGCAGTCCCAGCTACTTGGGAGGCTGAGGCAGAATTGCTTGAACCCAGGAGGCAGAGGTGGCAGTGAGCCGAGATTGCACCAATGCACTCTGGCCTGGGCAACAGTGAGACTCTGTCTCAAAAAAAAAAAAAAAAAAAAAGAAGAAAAAAAAATCCTAAAACTCTCATGGCTCCTAAGAACCCTAGGAGAAAGTTCTGCTCTCCTCCATGACCCATGGGGCCCTATGTGACCTCCGACCTCTACCCATTTCTCCAGGCCCATCTCTAAGTTTCCGTGCTCGTCATGGAATTTCACATCCTCTCCCCCATATGTAGAGCACTGTATTTCCCCAAGCCCTCTTTCCCCTCCCATCCTTTGCCCATGCTGTTCTCTATATCTGGAGTTCCCTTTTCTGCTCTTCTTTTCATCCTTTCCTCCTCCTCATCCTCCTTTGGGTCTCAGCTCAGATGTCCTCTCCTCCAAGAAGCCCCCCCTGATCCCCCAGGTAGGCTCAGGTCTTCCTCTGGCTCCCACATCTCAGCCCTGGCCATTCCAGGTCATTAATGTCTGGGGAGAGGTCTGTCCTGCTCATCAGACTGTGTGCCCCGGGAGGGCAGAGTCAGGGCTGTCTCAGCCACTGCTGGGTGTGGCACTGCCCAGCACAGGCTAGGCACCTAGTAGGAGCTTTAGAGTGACAACTGGGTGAAAGGCTCTTGGCATCATGAGCTACTGTGTTTTCAGGCTTTTGTAATTCCTTTATTTATTTATTTTTGAGACAGAGTCTCCCTCTGTCGCCCAGGCTAGAATGCAGTGGTGCAATCTCAGCTCACTGCAACCTCCGCCTCCCAGGTTTAAGTGATTCTCCTCCCTCAGCCTCCTGAGTAGCTGGGATTACAGGCACCCGCCACCACTCCTGGCTAATTTTTGTAATTCCTGGCTTTTAGGTTTCTTTTTGTTTTTTAATTACTTTTTTGAAAAAAATTTTTAAAGACGGGGTTTCACCATATTGGTCAGGGTGGTCTTGAACTCCCAACCTCAGGTGATCCACCCGCCTTGGCCTCCAAAGTGCTTGGATTACAGGTGTGAGCCACCGCACCTGGCCGGCTTTTAGGTTTCTAATTCTGATTTTCTCCTCCAGAAAGATCCCCAGCAGGCCCTCAAGGAGCTGGCTAAGATGTGCATCCTGGCTGACTGCACGCTGATCCTCGCCTGGAGGTAAGATGGGGGCTTCCCCGCCTGATTCAGCCTCTACCTGGGATTGGTCCCTACTCCCCCATTCCAGCATGCCCAGCCCTTCCCTCCTCCTTCCTGTGTGGGCCTGTTGCAGGGACTGCCTCTCTCTGGCCTTCAGTTTCTTCATCTGTAAAACAAAGTCTTAATATCTTTTTGTTTGATACAGAGTCTCACACTGTCCCCCAGGCTGGAGTGCAGTGGTGCGATCTTGGCCCTCCTCCAGGGTTCAAGTGATTCTCCTGCCTCAGCCTCCCAAGGAGCTGGAATTACAGGTGTCTACCACCATGCCCAGTATTTTTTAGTAGAGATGGGGTTTCGCCATGTAGACCAGGCTGGTCTCGAACTCCTGAACTCAGGCGATCTTCCTGCCTCGGCCTCCCAAAGTGCTGGGATTACATGCATGAGCCACCACGCCCGGCCGGAAGCTGAACATTTCATGAGGTTGGCTTCTTGCTGCAGTGGGAAAAGAAGCAGTGGTTCTGGTTTTCCTCTTGTCAAAGCCAGTACACACACTTTGTACTGTACACACCCTTCCAAAATAGCTAACATTCTTCAGCAGTGCCAGGCACGGCTTTGAGCACTTACAGAGCACTGCAGAGTATTCTCTGATCTTCACAATCATACCATCCTCCCCACTTTATTATTTTTTTGAGACAGGGTCTTGCTCTGTTGCCGAGGCTGGAGTAGATAGTGGCACCATCACAGGTTACTGAAGCCTCAGCTTACCAGGCTCAAGCAATCCTCCTGCCACAGCCTCCCAAGCAGCTGAGACTAAAGGTTCGAGACACCACACCTGGCTAATTTTTAATTTTTTTTCCTTTTTTTTTTGAGGTGGAGTTTTGCTCTTGTTGCCCAGGCTGGAGTGCAATGGCACGATCTCAGCTCACCGCAACCTCTGCCTCCCAGTGATTCTCCTGCCTCAGCCTCCCAAGTAGCTGGGATTACAGGCATGCGCCACCACACCTGGTTAATTTTGTATTTTTAGTAGAGACGGGGTTTCTCCATGTTGGTCAGGCTGGCCTCAAACTCCTGATCTCAGGCGATCTGCCCACCTCGGCCTCCCAAAGTGCTGGGATTACAGGCGTGAGCCACCGCCTGGCAATTTTTAATTTTTTGTAGAGACAATATCTTGCTATGTTGTCCCGGCTCGTCTCCAACTCCTGAGCTCAAGTGATCCTCCTGCCTCAGCCTCCCAAAGTGCTGGGATTACAAGCATGAGCCACTATGCCTGGGCACCCCACTTTACGGTGAGGAAACTGAGGCCCAGAGAGCAAACCACTGGCTCAGGGTCACCCAAGCAGAAGTGAGGTCAGGCTCCCAAGAGCTGGCCCTTAGCCAAAAAAGATGCCAAGAGGCACCCAGCAGGGGTTACTATCAGGTTGCATTTGGCAGGGGGCTAGTCTGGAAATGGAAATTTGATTTATAGCATCGGTAATTCTTACGACTGACCACAATGAGGCAAATCTAAAATCTGGTAACTCACCTCCCGGCTGTCCTGTATCCTGTTATCCAGCCCTGAGGAAGCTGGGCGGTACCTGGAGACCTACAAGGCCTATGAGCAGAAACCAGCGGACCTCCTGATGGAGAAGCTAGAGCAGGACTTCGTCTCCCGGGTGAGGCCAGCTCACCTCCCCTCCTTGCCTGGGCCTCCCCACAGCTCCCGGGTGGTTGAGCTTCAGTTCCGATCTTAAGGCACTGCCCATTTCTCCCCGGGCCTCTTCTCCCCTGCCCCATCCCACCCAAACTGCAGCTAGAGGGGTTTTCCTGAGCACGAACCTGCTGCTACCCCCCCAGCTCAAAGCCCTCCAGGGCTCCCCAGTGCCCTGAGGGAAAGCCCAAGCTTCTCACCAGGCTCAACAAGGACCCATCTGGCTCAGAAGCCCCGTGGCCCCCACTTCAAATTTCACTTCTCCCAGGCCTAGCTCGCTCCTCCAAGCACTTGCCCCTTCTTTTTATTTTTTATTTTTGAGGCAGAATCTGGCTCTGTCTCCAGGCTGGAGTGCAGCGGCGTGATCTCAGCTCACTGAAATCTCTGCCTCCCGTGTTCGAGCAATTCTCCTGCCTCAGCCTCCTGAGTAGCTGGAATTACAGGCGCCTACCACCACACTCAGCTAATTTTTATATTCGTAGAGACGGGGTTTCACCATGTTGGCCAGGATGGTCTCGATTTCCTGAACTCGTGATCCGCCTGTATCAGCCTTGCAGAGTGCTGGGATTACAGGCGCGAGCCACTGAGCCCGGGATTTTTTTTTTTTTTTTTTTTTTTTTTTGGCGGGGTTTTCCCCCAATTTACCCAGGCTGGGGGTGGTGGGGGGCGCCTGTGTCTACCGCGACCCCCGCCCCCTGGGTTTC